TAGACCTATCCATTTTTGTTTTCCCTCATTTGATTATGGCTGTGGCTGTAACATAATTGGGGGCTCGTCCGGGATATTTTCAATACTTTGTCATAATTTATATTATATCATAATTTATATTGTATTATATTGATATATTTATAATTTATTTAACTCCAATATTAAACTGTCTTAAAAGCATTGTGAGAAAGTTACAATCTTGAAAACACAATGCTACATTTTGCATTTCATTTAAAGATATATTTTTTTTAGATTTACTGTAGGTTGGACCTGTAGTTTTATATTTTATTAATATTTATTTTTGATCAAACATTTGCTCTGAAGTTCTAAATATGTAAATATATAACATGTGAATAAGTACATGTCTGAGTATATATAGTACTCAACATTTGAAAACAGTGAATATAGGTAATACATTTTAGTGCAAAACACATTTATTAAATGGATATATTAAAGATTATAAACATTATACACTTAAATTCATGCAAAATATTAAGGAAAAAATGCAAACCACAAAATTTCAATAATATATTTATTTTTTTGTTTCTCTTGAATTTTGCTCTTTTAATTTTTTTATTTAATATTTTTCTCTAACTTATACTTTTGGGTATGCTAATTTTGGACCATCGTCCAAGTTTTTTTTTTTTTTTTTTTTTCAGATGAGCTTCAAATTTGGCTTCAGTGCTGACTAATCCAATGTATATCCACAAATATAACATTGTAAAATGAAGATATTAAATTAAATCAGATATTTGTGAGAGGTGTACTCTTATATGTCGAGAGCTTTATATTAAAATGTCCTTTACATGTGGTCAGTATATGTAAAGTTGAAGTCAGAGTTATTAGCCCCCTGTTACCCAATTCCTGTTTAACAGAGAGAAATTTAACACATTTCTAAACATAATAGTTTTAATAACTCATCTTTAATAACTTTTTTATTATTTTTTTTATTTTATCTTTGCCATGATGACAGTAAATAATATTTGACTAGATATTGTTCAAGACACTTCTCTACAGCTTAAAATGACATTTAAAGTTAATTAGGTTAACTAGGCAGGTTAGGGTAATAAGGCAACTTTCTGTTTCACAGTTGTTTGTTCTGTAGACTATCGAAAAAAAATTAGCTTAAAGAGGCTAATAATTTTACCCTTAAAATGTCTTTTAAAAAATTTAAATCTGCTTCTATTCTAGCCGAAATAAAACGAATAAGACTTTCTCGAGAAGAAAAAATATTATCAGACATACTGTGAAAATTTCCTTGCTCTGTTAAACAAAATTTGAAAAATATTTTAAAAATAAAAAAAAGTCAAAGGTGGGACTTTAACTGTATATACACAATTAATTGATTGAATTTGCACAAATGGTACTATATAATGATATATATCATTTTCAAGATATGCGTTTACTCACATTGTGATGTGAGATTTCTGTCACATCACCCAGCCCTAGCAGAGTCCATATGCTTGTAGCATATTACACGTCTGCCTTAACCTATCTGAACCCATTTGCGGCTTCTGTTCCCTTGATAAAAGCTAGCATCCCAATCAGTGGATCTCTTTGGGACAGAGATGAGGCCTGTATCATTCCTCTCTCGCTGCTCTATCTCTGCCAGCATCTGTTTCATTATCATAATCCTGTGCTGTTGTCAGGGGGCCTGTTGACCTCCGTCTTGGGCTCGCAAGGCGGCTGAGCTGGAGCTTGAGAGACGCCAACAACAACCTGAGTTTCGTTTCCAAGTTTTGCCCATTGATTACATGTGTTTTGCAAGAATATTTCAATGCGGATACGGTTACAGTATGGTCGTAATTAAAAAACGAGCAGGCTTTGATGTGTCGAATGTGTGGTCATTAAAAAACAAAGAGGCGCGAGGGCAGTGAACGCTGACAGAATCTTGCCTCATGAATCATGTGGCGAAACTGTGCAATGAAACAAAAATCACAGCGGCACGTCTTTCCCTCCCCCTCAGGACGCCGAGGTGACTTTGGAAAGTGATCCGTAGACCACTGCGCCAGTCTCAAGTGTTGTCATGGTGTGTTAGCAACAAATCGCTCTGGCGCATCCTCATGAAAACCAACAAAGGGATATCCAGGATATGTACATATTCAACTTTGTATATTCAAGATTTGTGTGTGTGTGTTGGAGTGCCAGGCAGTGTTGCAAAAAAAAAAGAAATCAATCTTTATTAAAAGGGGGAAGATGGAGGAATTGATTTAATGAATGCGGACTCATGTCCTGCGGTCGCATGTAATCCATTGAGAATCATTGAGCCAGAGCTCGGGGAGACAAAAAGACATTCTGCGAAGACTGCTCGAGTGGCCTGTAATGATAGTCTCCATATAATCCGCTAATTCCTTGTTTAATTAAACTCCAGAGCCGGTCTGGAGACTGCAGCAGTATTGGTTCATCTTGAAGCAGTTGCATTGCGGAAGACCCTTGTTTTCTTGTGTCGTTCATGTAGTTGCACCAAATACTTGCACATGCACTGAGAAGAATGCATGTGTAAATAAACAAGACCCTAATTGTTTATAATGTCTTCGTACTGAGACAGATTTCCTAGAGTTTGGATCTATTTATTGATCATTTGAGCAGGAATAATGTATGCATGAATATGCAAGCATACAGTCTTGGGGGAAAAATCATATATTGCAATTGTAAGGTTTAGGATTGTAATATTTACCTTTTTCCATCACACCGGATGTGTGTTTACTGTACAAGTTGCATTGAGCTGGGGGTTGTTTTTTTCCCCCCAGTTTCAAATGCACCCAATACTTGTACATGCACCGTGAAGAATGCATGTAAATACACAAGACCTTTCTTGTATATCATTTCCTCCCACCTCGTACTAAGATTTATTTCCTAGAGTTTGGTCCTATTTATTGATCATTAATTTGGTGCACCAAAAAAAAAAAAGGATGCATGGATATGCAAGTGTTGGGGAAAAGGTAATATATTACATTTTAAAGTCACATTATGTTACTTTTTTAAGAGTAAGATAGGCTTAAGATTGTAATGTAAACCTTTTTTTTTTACCCAACACACTTGGATGCATGTTTATTGTTCCAGTTGCATTGAGCTGGGGGATTTTTTTCCCATTGTCAATTTTAAGTGCACCCAGTACTTGCACATGCACCAGAAGAATGTATGTGTAAATACACAAGACATTTGGTGCACCAAAAAAAAAATGTATGCATGGATATGCAAGTGTTGGGAAAAAGGTAATGTATTACAACCTAAAGTCAAATTTTGTTATTATTTGTAAGAGTAGGATAGGCTTAAGATTGTAATATATACCTTATTTTACCCCTCACACTTGGATGTGTGTTTATTGTTCCAGTTTCATATAGCTGAGGATTGTTTTTTTCCCCATAGTCAATTTCAAGTGCACCCAATACTTGCACATGCACCAGAAGAATGCATGTGTAAATACACAAGATCAGAGTTTGTTTGTGCCTTTGTTGTTTATAATTCCCTTGTATCTCATACCAAAATGGACTCCTTAGAGTTTGGTCATATTTATTGATCATTTAGTTCGGTGCACCAAGAAGAATGTATGCATGGATATGCAGGTGTTGAGAAAAAGGTAATGTATTACAATCTAAAGTCACAATATGTTACGTTTTTAAGAGTAGGATAGGCTTAAGATTGTAATGTAAACCTTTTTTTTTTGTCCAACACACTTGGATGTGTGTTTATTTTTCCAGTTGAGCTAAGGGATTGTTTTTTTCTTTCCCCCATTGTCAATTTCAAGCGCACCCATGCACCGAGAAGAATGCATTCGCTGATACTCACGGACATACTCGCACACCCATGCACATACTAATATACACACACTTTCGCACTCCCACAGGCCCTTTTGTAACCTCTTTTCCTGGCAGCCTATCAGCTGCAGAAGAGGCCTGGCAGATGGGGGTTTGAGAGAGAGAGATGATCAGGCTCCGGTCTGGCAGAAGGAAACGGAGATGCAGGAGAGAAAGTCGTGTGAAGTGGTCCAGGGTGCAGGAACCTGCTGATCAGCAGTGGGCAGAGAGCGCACACCATGGCTCAAAGGAGATTTGTCTCCGCTGTGGCAGCTGTGGCGTTGCGGGGGAAGGAGCTTGGAGCCCTTCTTTCTGTCTTTCCCCCGTGGATGATGCAAGACCAAAGGGCCTGGAGCAAGACTCACGCTACGCTGCTTGTTAGCACTCATGCGTTTTAAGAAAGCAAATGTAGAAGTGTGATTTTTGTGACAGGACCTTTCACGAGCTTTCTGCTGCCGTGAATAGATATACAGAGGTGGCTCACAAATAAAGTATGATGCAATTTTAGAATCAATTATCATGGTAATGTATTTCAGTAATATATCTTAACACACTCCATATCTCTCCTTACAAATGCTCGTCTTGGCTCGGTCGTAGTAGTGTTCGTCTTTGTGCCGGGGAAATACTCCTCTGGCTAAAATGCAAACTGCCAACTGCGATCTGCACTTGTCTTTGACTGGATGCCTGCAAAAAAAAAAAAAAGTAATGTAAAATATGTTGTAATATATTTTGAACACTAGCTTGAAACACAAAGAGAGAGGATTCAATGGCCCAGAAGTCTCACACATTCTTATTTCAAACACTTGCTCTTAGGAGCTAGCCCCAGGCCGCTACAGAAAGAATAAGGCGGACGTGCGAGAGCAAGGTGTCTGGTGTAGATTACCCTAACCCTCACAGTTACGTCCCCCAGGCCTCTCCAGGGCTCAGTGGCAGGATTATGTGTCTGAAGACTTCTCACATATGAATAAGACCCAGTCAAACGGTAGTATCTAGGGCTCCATTGACACATCGAGATAACGGAAGCATTAATATCACCGTGATAGCCGGTTTCGGTTTTCAGGATCATTTTCCATTGACTAATTCGTGCTATGCTACCATAGTTGATGACAGCTGAGATTTTCAGTTTCTGTACAAAATAACCTAGCAGTTTTTAATCTTCTGAGACTTGATGCTCAATGACTTACTTCCAAACTGTGTGCGCAGGTAATCGCACGGACGAAGGTTCAGACGTGGAGTCAGAGCCAGACCTTCCTCTGAAGAGGAAACAGAGACGCAGTCGTACCACATTCACAGCGGAGCAGTTGGAGGAGCTGGAGAAGGCCTTCGAGAGGACACACTACCCTGACATCTACACCAGAGAGGAGCTCGCACAGAGAACCAAACTGACCGAGGCTCGTGTACAGGTCAGATATGTTCACTTGCGCTACTTACAGTGCATGACACTGATCTGAGCTAAAGTGAACTGCACTTCAACAGTGGCATTAATACCAAAAACTTTTTTATTAATACCAGTCCTTTTTCACATATCCGGGTTTCTTTAGTAGATAGTTGGGTTAACTTAAGATGCTGATTACTATAGTCGGCGCCAGTGGTGTAGTGGTCAGTGCGTCGACATATGCACTCTGATGCTCGCGGTGACCCGGGTTCGATTCCGCCTTGCGTCCTAGGCCAATCCTTTATCGTCTCCCCATGCTTTCCTGTTAGTTCTCTCTACTGTACTGTCAAAAATAAAGGTGAAAACCCCGAAAAAATAATAATAAAAAAAAGATGCTGATTACTATTAAACGTATAGTAACAGTCTTGTGAAAAGGGCCCATAGCTTTACTCTCTTTTCATCATCAGTGTAAAGCTGCTTTGACAATCTATACCAGGGGTTCTCAAACTCAGTCCTGGAGGTCCGGTGCCGATTTTAGCTCCAACTTGCCTCAACACACCTGCAAGGATGTTTCTACACTCTCAGAAATAAAGGTACCAGAGCTGTCACTTGGGTGGTACCTTTTCAAAAGGTACACATTTGTACCTAAAGGGTCCATATTGGTATCTTAAAAGTAAATATTAAAACCTATAAATTAACACTTTTGTACTTTTTAGGTACTAATATGTACCCTTGAAGTATTAATACGGACCCTTTAGGTACAAATTTGTACCTTTGGAAAAGGTACCACTCCAGTGACAGCTCTCGTACATTTATTTCTGATTATGTAAGGCCCTGTTTACACTAATACTGCGTTTTAAAATGAAAATGATCCATGTCCACACTGATGTTTCACCCAGCATTTCTGAACAATGAAATTCTCCATCCACACTACACCGCTAAAAACGCACATCACGTGACCACAGACATGCACTGCGGCATGCACTGCAGCATACTTACACATCTACCCATAGCCATATGAAAGCTGTGCTCGTCCAACTGTATATCAAGGATCTACAGCTGGATCTAATCTCTCTATAGTTGTTAAACGTGACATTTAATTAATCTTGTTGTCTTTAATTAATGACATATTCCCCGATAGGGGCGATTTTAGGATTTTTATTTTAGGGGGCTCAGCACTTTATAAGAAAAAAAAAAAAAAAAAATATATATATATATATATATATATATATATATATATATATATATATATATATAGTGGCAGTGGCGCAGTAAGTAGTGCTGTCACCTCACAGCAAGAAGGTCGCTGGGTTGCTGGTTCGAACCTCAGCTCAGTTGGTGTTTCTGTGTGGAGTTTGCATGTTCTTCCTGCCTTGGCGTTGGGTTTCCTCTGGGTGCTCCGGTTTCCCCCACAGTCCAAAGACATGTGGTACAGGTGAATTGGGTAGGCAAAATTGTCCGTTGTGTATGAGTGTGTGTGTGAACGGCGAAGGCAAAGGGCGGCGAAGGGGTATGCGTCAGCGCCGTAGCATACGCTGGCGTTTGACGCAGAAGTATAAATCAGCCTTAAAAAGGCGTTTTCATCGTAACCAAAAAGCTCAGTTTTCAGCGCTCAAAAGGCGTAGTGTGAACTAATGGCATAACCATAGCAAAACGTATGCATTTTAAGACTAAAACATATTAGTGTAAACAGGGCCTAAAAAGCTTAGTAAGAGCTTGATTAGCTAGCCCAGGTCTGTCTGATTGAGGTGGGAGCTAAAATCTGCAGGAGTGCGGAGATTGAGAACCCCTGATCTACACTATTAAAAGCACTATAGAGACAAACATGTATTGAATATCGAGCCTGACCCTTGATCAGTTATAGCTGATTGGCTTTCAGAAAGCCTCATTTCTTCTCTCGTCGTCCTCTGTTTATTGCCGGTGTTTGTCATATTTATTTATTCAGCAGAGACTAATTGTTTGACCTCCCCTCCACTCCGGGACTACATCAGTCTTGTTCAGATGTCAGTTGGAGCCCGGCCCTATTACTTGCACTCTTCTTTGGGATGCTTCCTGACAGTTTGTGAACCCTGCAGTTTTATGTAACATCGCAAAGCAAATACGGTAGAATTATAGCAGCAGCTGCACTCTGAGCTAGTGGGAGACGAAAAGAGGGATGGGGGAAAAAGAGAAGGGAAGAAAGAAGAACAGACAAAATGCATTCCTGATGGATTTCTCATCTCTTCCCTTGGCCGGCGATCGCTTCCCAGCACTTGAAAGCTGGCCGCACTTGTAAATCCCTCTACATATCAGAAAGGATCCCTCTGGACCTCTCTGGGGACTCTGTTCTCTGACAACAACATTAATCAATCAAGCGCTTGTAAAAGACTCTGCAAGGTGGGGGTCGGGGCTCTAGGTTTCTCCAAACTCTCATCCTCAAGTTGTCCTCTTTTGGATCCCAACTACCTTGGGTTCCTCAGCAGAAAATATACAAGGCAGGGTAACCGATTCAACATATGTCTTTGTCTGTCTCTGAGCATTCAAGGAAGAAGACGTATGTGGCTAAATGGTTGCTTCCACACTCTTGGGAGAATGTTGAGAGATTTATGCTATGCCTGTTTTCTAGTAATATTTCACACATGATGTATTTAGGGGACCGATTTGCATTGATTGTAGGTTTATGTCGGCTAATCTCCGGTGTATGTCAGAACATTCATTATTACTTAAACAGCATTGCACAAGATAGCAATGTCTTGGGGATTTCGGGAGAACGAAAGGGAAAAGTCCCATGTAAAATTAAAAAGAAATCCACTATGCATATTAGTTATGATGATAAGGTGAAAGAAAACACATCTAATTGGTCAATGCAAAGCCACATGGTTGTCAAACACAAGTGTCTTCTGTTCCAGTCTGTTACAACAACCAATGAGCCATGTTTGTAGGTCAGTTGTGCGTTTTTTGGCCCACACCAATCCCCAAGGGTGTATTTATGGTAACTAATAAAAAAGACAAGAGATAGGACCAGAGGAAAACCTTGAACAAGGCCGAATAGCCAAAAGGACACATCTTCCCCCTCTCGCATAATAGGGCTAAAGGGATATCATGTGAAAAGCTGAGGTATTCGAGTCATGGATATAATTTGTTAATGCAATTTTTCTCATAATCTAATTCTGGAACACTTTGAAAATCTCCAAAGGTCAACTCAAAGTAAATCTGCAGAGAAGGTCACCCTGAGAAAGTGACTCTGGTTAAGCACGGTAAATAATGGCCGTAGGTCTTCAATGCTGCTTGGTCCGGTGTTGGGGTGGGGAGGGATTGTGTGTGATTTCTCTATGGAGTCTATTGTGAAAGTTCTTCCCCCTCCTCAAAGCAGCCCTCCTTTAAATGTGTGTTTTTGCCATTGCCTTTTTTTTTTAACTGTTAAAGGAGTCAGTCTGTTGAAGTGCTCATGCAGATTTACCCATAAAAGTGCAGTTCATCGTAGCGCACACTTTGACCTCCCATTGGACTGACATTAAAGGGCACCTAATGCGTTTAACCCACCCAAAGCACTAATTCAGTGAGGTGTTCGGGTTTGGCATGATACTCAACAATACATTCCACGGCTTGTACATGGCAGCTGCTTTGGCATAGACCTTTAAATGTGTTTGAATAAAATATGACGTGCTGTTTCATGGCAAGAATGCATAATATTCTTCATGCAGTTACCATTAGGACCATTTCACAGACGTTCCCACTGGTTTGGCTTGGGATATGTGGGCAGGTTTGTGTATAGAGATTCCTCACAGGCCAGAGTGAGATCAGACCTTTGGCCCTGGCTGGTGACCTGCTCCGTCACAGCTGTGCAGACCCATCCGGCAGATGTCAGTTTAGTAGCAAATGAAGAGAAGGGCACTGGGGTGAGACAGGGGCCAAGCAAGGGGCCGCTCCACCCCTGGATCATCAGCTCCAGAGCATTTATGCTACACAGCCCTAGTTCTTTAGTCTTGGGGCAACTAAATGCATAGCAAGTGTGAGTTATGGTTAGGGCTAGAATATACTGTAATTAAGGGGATGGTTTGACCCAGGGGTGTCCAAATTCAGTCCTGGAGGGCCGGTGTCCTACATATTTTAGTTTCAACCCCAATTAAACACACCTGAACCAGCTAATCAAGCTCTTACCAGATGTACTAGAAACTTCCAGGCAGGTGTGTTAATACAAGTTGAAGCTAATCTATGCAGGAAACCAGCCCTCCAGGACTGAGTTTAGACATCCCTGTTCTAGTATATCTAGTAAGAGCTTGATTAGCTGCTTTGAGTGTGTTTGATTGGGGTTGGAGCTAAACTCTCCAGGACTCTTGCCCTCCAGGACCGAGTCTAGACACCCCTGGTTTAACCGAAAAGGGTAAGACTTTATTTTGATGGTCCCTATTGCACATTTTGTTGACTAAGACTTGCATTGCAACTACATGCCAGTTAATTCTCACTTGAGTATGAGTAGACTGTCTGCTTAATATCTGCTGAAAATGCTCCTTCAACATTTAACAGACTATATAAAACTTTGCAAGTATGTGAACTTACACTAACCCTAACCAACACAATCTCACAGCAATTCGTAACTTTTTGATTTAGTGGCTAATTTGTATGAATTCGTACGATCTAATTTGTACAATTTAGTACGATTTGATTATCACCCAATGACGGTTGGATTTAGGGGTGGGGTTGGGTGTCATGCATCCTTTTTAATATTGTACAATTTCATACGACTGAACTCGTACGAATTCATTCGAATTAGACACTAAACTGCCAAAACGTAAAATACTTGCGTTTTCTCAAGAGATCTGGCTGCCCTAACCCTAACCCCGAAACAATAGTCTACTTATAATCTATTGAGAATTAGTTGACATGTACAGTTGAAGTTAGAATTATTAGCCCCCCAGAGTTATTAGCCCCCTTTTTATTTTTTCTCTCAATTTCTGTTTAACGTAGAGACGTTTTTGCAACACATTACTAAACATAATAGTTTTAATAACTCATCTCTAATAACTGATTTATTTTATTTTTGCAATG